CAAGAATAATGGGCGTTACATACATTCTAAACATTTTTAAGTCCACATCGAGTCGAGAAAATTGTCAGTAAGCAGTGAGTGCACATAAAATAAGCATAATTGGTGCACCTTAAAGATCTACCGAAACTCAAGACCTCCAACCTCCATCTGCCATCATTATCCAAGCTCCACTGCAAGGGGTAGCACTGAACTGGGGCTGGGGCGTCAATGCTCGTACTTGAAACAAAATATGCAGGCCAAGCCGCGAGAGGAAGGCGATGTGGGGTTGTGGGTTTGGGATGGGGATGTGGGTGGTGGTGGGGGATTGGGGGATTGGGGCACACAGAGACTGCAGCAACCCCCGGACCATTCCCATCTCCGTAGTCGCCAATGTAGCACATATGCATTACATTAACCCAGTTTGGGCCAAGGGTTGAGGCCTGCTCTCCACATGCCCTGGCTTGAAGCCAAAGTGGAACGGAGGCATGAAAATTTCACACATCCCCAGGAGGCCAAATTGTGTTTTCTTCCTATTTTCGTTTGTCAAGTAGCTCTTTTCTTTTTTTTTTTTTTTTTGCCACTGATTAAGTGCGTCATGCGGCTCGAATTTATCAACTAATAATCACCGGACAGCAACAAAGCAAATGCAAACGCTTCACCCACTCCAAATGCTATGACGCAGCCCCAGATACAGATAATTATATACATGTTATGTGCTGGTCATTGGGTAAGTGTATAAGTTCAAACAGCAAACAAAACAAAACTCGTTATGACTACCATTTTTTTTGCGTCTTAGGTTTTAGAACCCAGTCAAGCCAAGCAATTTGAATTCATTTCCAAGCTGGGACCTCAGTGCGTATGATGAATGAGGCTCCAGGGAAAACATACAGAAAAATGTGTAGAAGGCGGAGGACTTTGATGCGGAGCCGGAGTCGCTCTAGAGCATTATTATTCAAAAGCCAACGCCTTAAGTATTTTATTGCTCATTTAGCTGCAATAATATCTGCATAATTTAGCCATTCGAATTGAAACTTCAGTCATAAAATCACGATGGGTAATGAACTGAGAATTAAAAGACATGATTTAAAAATGGAACGATGCATTGCTGTTGGTTTCCTGCTATCTTATCTCGTATCTGTGATTCAATCAAGGTTCTTGACTCTCCAATATCTTCAGAAACATCTCAGTCCTCAAACGTTATCTTTGGTTTATAAAGATAAGTGAGTTAAATAGTTCGTACAGTAAAATCGAACAAAGCCGTTCTTTAACTGGTATACGGAAGTCCAAGCTTCTTTTCAGCTAATCAATTAAAATTAGAAACTTTGTGTGGAATTATTAACTTTTTTATTAACCATATTTACAGCTTGGTCGTATGAAAAATCACACAAAGCCACCATGATTTATAGCCCTAGTCTAAAAGCCAAAACACAAATGACACCGCATTTAAAGTAACCAAGTCCATTGGCACTCGGAAATTCCATTGCCATCCTCCGCACGGAAAATGCTGTTAGTCTAGCTCAACTTTGACCTTTTGCTGCTCGATTTATGGGCGCTGATAAAGTTGCGCTTGCACTTTTCACCTCGACCACACGAAATGGTGTATGATATAATGGGCCTAGAGCCATATTCCGATATATGTATAATGTAGCTGGAATTACTACAGGGTATTGGTGGCAAGCGATTTATCAGCGGCAACTGGGCCACTTCAATTCCAATAATTGCAGCCCAGCGTGTGCCATTTATGGCGAATTATTCATAATTGCGATTGCACGTGAAGAAGAGAGTGTGGAGGAGCTTGAGGTGCGAGCAGGGTGGAGCCATTGCAATTAGCAACTGGCTAGAGTGGGACGGCGACAGACGAACGACGTGCCTCCTGACTTTTCCCCACTGGCTTTTCCGGCCGGAGCGAAAGGAGCGCACGGAATATCGACAATTTGGCAGGTCGCCCACGGCAACCGTTGGCAGGTCAACGGGCAACAACAAACCGAGCTCGAGACAACAATCTGAACTCAATCTACTGCTGAGCTGTGTACTTGATTGGGATTCAAAGCTACTTTGGATTTACCGACTCAAAAGCCTAAACAATTACGATTTTCCAGAGCACCAAAATGATTTACATAATTTGATCTTTTGATTTGCTGGGAAATGTAATGAAAAGTATAATGAAAAAATTACAAAGTTACATATATTTTTACTATTTTAAGAAAGAAAAGTTTTATGATTGTGTGCAGTAATCAGAAAGGGGTTTTCTAGTTAACTGGTTTGTATTGTTTTGTTTTATTACCATTTGATTCGTCTTAAGGCTGACTCTTTGCACTCTTAGCAGATCCTATTGTTTTTTTTTTAAGAACTTCCCGTCTTCGATTTTCTTGGAAGTTGGCTACGAACAAGTTCGTTTCTGCCTCTAAAAATACTTTCTCAACTATTGGTATTGACTGCAATTTGTCCGAGTCTTTCAAGGATATCGCCTCCGGTGGGGACAAATTTGCAAAACAGAAATTATTCAAATGTTCTTTGGGGGCGGAGAGACAAGATATTTCCAATGGGGCGTGGCAGGGGGCAGAGGTTATGAGGCACCGACAACGGCAGCAAATCACATAAAGGAAGTGTCACGCTATGTCAGGCCGCAGGCCAGTAGAACAAAAAAAAAAATCGTACAGCCGAAACGAACAAAATCACACGCTCAACGTCAGAATGTTGTTGCAGGATATGGGAGAATATCAGTTGGGTGTGGGGGCGTGGCAAGGTAATGGGTGGTGGGGCAATGGCGCGATGGGGCTTTTGGGCGGCGCAGGTTGCCCTACTGTTACGTGTTTGCAATCGATTTGAAAGTTACATAAAACAGAGCCGCAGACCAAGGGCAGAAAAGGGAAAAGGCGAGGAAGTTGGTAAACACCTGAGTGGCCAACAACAGCAACAACAACAACAACAGCACAAACAACAGGAGCAGCAACAAGGCGACAAAAGCAATTTGTGCGACGAACTTTTCGCTGTGTTTGCTTTCTGAGTAAACTGACCTACGCATTAAACATGCAGGAAAGTTAAACATCAGATATAGATACATATATATTCTAGACTCAGATAGATACTCTGGCGAACTAGACGAAATACTACTGGCCATGGCGATGGCGCCGACAGGTTACAGTAAAGCCGTTAAAGTTGAGTCCCCACCCATTCATTTCCACACCCAAAAGCCGCTAGAAGCAATAAAATTTCACAAAACAGCGAATAACAAATGTCTGCAGGAACAGTAAACACTGCCTATAGGTAAACCAATTAGGGCAGCTGTTAAAGATAACAGTCAAGTCGCTTCTGATGAACAGCCCATTAATCCATTTTGCTTTTCCTTTGTTTAGTTTGGAAAATTGGTATACCATTGCCAGGAAAATTAACTGGAAGTTACTCTTTTCCCAAATTGGCCAACTCGTTGGATTTCATATTTAGCTTAATTTCGATTCAGAATATAATCTTACTATCAAAGGAGTATTCACAAAAGGGCAGTTAGAATTTGATCCTAATAAAAGAATTTTAAGTTTTATTAAACTTTAATTTAAGTTGGAAGTTTTAGAAAACTTCCAACCACACTCCTTTTTTACTGACATAACTGGGTTTTCTGCAGACAGGCTTCACTGTGGCAGCTGCTGAAATGATTGCGGCGAAGTTTTCTGGAGGTCGTTTAGAGTGGAAAAGCGCCAGCTCCGAGAGAGACAGAGAGAGGGAAAGAGAAGGAGGGAAGGAGTGGAGCGAAGGGGAGGCAGCAGGGGTCCATTACGTCAGAGCCAGAAGCCATTTGAGTTTTGTCAAAAATTAGCAGTTAAGAAATGCGAGGAGAACTCAGCGAAACCAAAGCCAAGCACACACAAAAAAGAATAACGAATAAAGGCGAACATCATAAATGGATGAATTAGTACAGATATGGCGAGCAACAAGAACAACAACGACAACACCATGCATACAACAACTAACTGTTAACTAAGTAAAAAGAAGAGTGCGCAAAATATACAATAGTGCTAATTGGAAAACAGATACTGGGATGCAAATGAAAAGTTTTAGATGAGGCAGTGTGTTTTCTTTTCTTTTTAATGGGGGCGAGCGCAGAGAGAGAGAGACAGGATAAGACAGAGAGAGAAAGAGAGAGAGGGGGGAAGAGTAATAGATAACTGCAACAAAACAAATGCAAGCGTAGCGAGAGGGAGGGGAAGAGAATTAGAACTGGTTAATGTTATCTTCCATACCCGCCCCTCTCTTTCGCACCTTTCCAACTGGCATTTGTTTTGTTGTCTGTTTTGCACTTGTATGTGTGTTAATTGTGCCCGCTGTGTGTGTGTGAGTAGGTGTGAGTGTGTGCGTGGTTGGATTTGAAAAACTCACCTGACGCTTTCCGTTGGTTTTTCTTCGCTTCTTCAGTAGGCCTCAAAACTGAGATAAAAACTGCTACCGCTTTTCCTCAACGCCTTCTTTTCGGTTAACAAAAAGAGACGGTTGTTTTAACTGCACTGTCTATGAAAAAATCAATATTCGGTCTCGACCAACTTTTTTCTTCACCTTTTCTTTTACAACTTGTGTAATTTCAGTGCTCGTTCTGTTTCGTTCACTTATTCTCTCGCTCTCGCGCGCACGCACACACACACACACGCCCGCTGTTCGCGATTGCCAGTAATTGTCGGGGATCAATTTCTTGTAATTTCTTCAGCTGCTTTCAAGTCTTTAATTCTCGGTCTCGATGCAGCGTAAAGCAAATTTGATAGTGATGTGAAAAAACATCGATGCATCGAGAATCGATGTTTTCAAAGATGTTATCGATGTTAGCCGATATTTCTGTAATATCGCCGACCAGCGATACATCGTTGATTTTCAAAACATCGGTTGATGATTAAATCGGATTTGATTAAATCTGTACACATATTTTTGAATAATCAATAACAATATATTAGATTATGATATTATTATTAAATTATTACATAACATTTTGTAATAACTTGCATTTTAACACGACTCTTAACATAATTTTAACATAACCTTCAGCCGATATTTTTTTGTAGACATAAGTGTCCATCACTAAACAGCTGTTTCGAGCGGCCAGAAAAAAGCAGAGAGCACATGCGTTTGAAGAGCGAAATTTGATTTAATATTTGAGATTATTCATGGCTAACTGAATAAAGAAACCCGGAATCCAGATTCACATGCATCAGAACCCATCGGCCAGCTAGAAAGTTCATGAAAACTCTTTACCAAAACCCGCCTACTTACAACTAACTTATTTACCAATTGCAGACATGCCGCGACGCTATCAGAAAGCTCTCAATTTGGCCAAATTCAGTGCCCAGGTCAAGATAAAAACTAGTGATAATGAATCCGATACCGAAGACGATTTTCCGCCGGATCAAGAAGCTGAGGATAACAATGAGCCCGATTATCTACGTAGCATTTTGGAGAATGCACCGCACTTCTCCAATCCGGGCATGAACACTGGAATGTTGGGTCAAATCCTGTACGACCAGGACGAGAATCAGAAGCAGGACTTGCCAAACTGCTCGGTGACGGTGCCGCTCCCTCTTTTTCTGGCCAGGGATGGACAGACGCCTCGGGAGGAAGCATGCATCCAAAGACCAGGCGCCTACGACGAATGGACACGTAATTTGCAATTGCACAAGGCAATATTTGATAGGCGGTTCAAAAATATGCGACAGCGTGAAAAAAAGCAGGAGCAAGGTGTTCACAGTGCGAGTCTCTTTGAGATGGCTGAGCATATAGCCCGGCAGGAAAATTCCTTCTTCAGGGATAGCTACGATTACTACTACACAGGCGGAAACCTAAACACGATGCCATTTGAAGGAGGCCATCTGGCCATGCATGTCAGTGGTAACAAGCTTAGAGATCTGCACTTTTCCAGAGATTATGGTGAGGCGGAGTTTTGGCAGCAATTGCATTCGACTCATCTAGAGGAAGCCTCCAGCGAAGTTTTTGAACTTCAGCCACTGGACAATTTAAATCGGAGTCATATGTTCCTAGCGCGGTTTCTGAACGAGGTTTCCCTATACCAACTTAAACGCAAAGAGGAGCAGGATCCTGAAGATTACGAACTCATTCGCCAATGCATGTTTAGCAGTCAGGAAGCTCCATTAACAAGCGTAGCACAATCAATGGCCAATGCCAATAACTTGGCCTTAGCTAGCCAAGATCGTTCCTTACGCTTCGTGGATATTCCGACACAAAAGGATATAGCCAAGCTTGATGTTTGCTTGCTAAAAGGGCTAAAGCAAACCACGAGTACCTGGGCACAATTAATGCCAGCAGATGGAAGCACCTTTCACTACCTAACACAGCCTGTCTTGCTTACCGTAGATGTACGATGCAATCAACCACTGAATCCTTGCTTTGCCAGCAGCGTTCACTCCAAAGCTTGCGAGAGGTTCTCTAGTTTGGCCAGAAGTGTGAATCCCAATCTTCTGTATGTGGCTAGTAATCACAAGCTCCACTGTTTGGATATCAGATGTTTGGGTAAAAAGCTGACCGATCGTGCTGTGGTCACCTGGACGCATCAGATGACTTTTCCTCCCAGTTTTATTGACACATGCGCCCACGAGAACAGTGAATATATTGCATTAGCTGGACTATTACCCAAAGATCTTCGTATTTGTGAACTGCAAAAAGCCCAGGCAAAAACGGTGGATGAAATGTTTTCGCCTGCAATACCTTTTGCGCCGCTAACCTTGGAAGAAGCTTTAATAGATGCTCGCTTGGGAGGATTTACCAATGTCTATGCTGATCTTGCAGAGCGGGTAACGAGCTGCATGACAGGAATGCGCTTTCATCGCTTGGAGGAGGCAAGTGATCATGCTTTTGCCCAGCTACTAACCTCAAACAGCTTAGGAGATGTTTACTGCCAAAGATTAACGCTAAGGGATGATGAAGAGCACGTCCATGACATCAGAACCGGACTTCACACCACGGAAGCCATTCGCTACCTTGCCAATGCCGTTAATGAACGCGTCCAACGCGAGAGCCTGCGCTGCACAGAAGTACAGTCGATACCAGAAATAAGAGACATTTTTCGGGATGCAACCAAGAGATCAAAACCTGATGAAAAACCCCTTATCGTAGAAGAGATCGAAATTGACTATGCGATAAAGGATACGGATGTTTCAGAAGATGAAAGCCTAGGCTCCGAAAAGGCACAGGCAGAAACTTCGAAATCCAAGAAAAAAGATAAGAAAACAACTAAGAAGAAAACAAAAGAGAAACCAAAACGGCAACCCAAAAAGAAAGCTCCCTGTGACAGAAACGTAAGAAAGAAGAAAAGCATCAATCGCGGTTCTTGGCAGAAATCCGCCTACCAACTGTCCCACTATACGGACATGATGTCGATTCGTTTGCTGGACGTGTGGGATATGGAGGAGTACGATACCACTCGGGATGTGACCAAAGAAATGTTCGAAGAGCGATTTAAGGATAAGCAGCTGGAACCGGAACAACGCATGGCAAACTGGTTGGACCAATTGCCCAGTCAAGCAGGGCAGCCCACAGAGGACGAGGTGACAGAGGCCAATCCCGACATGGTGCCCGGAACAAGTCTTCCAAAACTATATGGCGCCACCACAGCGAACTACACTGTGATTGCAGCCCCCGACCCTGATAAGGACATTGAACAGCCCCATATTAGTCCCAAAAGAGAATCCCCTAATGCATTTAGTCGCGAGTTTTCAATCTTGCTGCCTGGACAGAATACTATTATCGAGGACTATGCTACTCCCCCGCCAGCTAAGAGGCCCAAGGTGAAGCACATCATGGGTTTCTAGCTTAAGTTAATGTTATTGAGCTTAGTTCTTGTTTAACATTAAAAAATAATAGATTATAAAATATGTTGACTAAGTAATAGGTATTACATATAGAATTTAGGAAATGTATAAACTAAATAAACCCTTTTTTTTATTAAATTAAACCGTTCTAAAAGTAAACTTTAAATAGTTTTCAGTCTTTTGCATTCGAAGTAATTAACACATACACTTCACATTTGCCCATCCCCTAAACTGTGCTGCACGTTATACTTGCCATCTTCCATTGATGTCACTGTTTGAGGATATATCTCCACCAATATCGGGTTCGTAGGCTGGATTCACGATTCCCACGATGGGCTCGACCACAAAACGATCGTTCCTGCGTTTGAGGGCGTATCCCACAGATCGTTTTGCCATATTGGTTTTATCTTGATTGCCGTGCAGCATTATTTTTAGCCCTTATTTTTTCACCACACTACACGACCGTTTAGAGAGTGCCGCAGATTTCGACTGATTTTCAATTAATTTGGGCAGTTTGCATTCAATTGATTCGATCTATCTATCGCTCGTCGACGCTCAGTGGGGCGTAAACGAGCCAAGGGTGACAATTTCATAGGAGCGGCCATATATACAATATATGCATAGTATAGTTTAAACTAAGCTCGGTGAGCTTTTAGTGGGGGAAGATTATCTTTAACCAAATGCAGCGACATTGGCATATTCACAGATACTATGCTAAAGCACTAGTCGAATGTTTGGGATTAGTTCATAGTTTAATTTAAAACATAAAAATTGATCCATTGATTTGCAGTCTGCAGATCACAACATACATAACATTGATTGTTAGCATTGTATCGTATCGTTTTGATCAATCCGTGAGGTATGACACATTTACAATACACAACTTGTTGGGAACTCTACTTTCTATCAGTTTACAAAATGATCAAGCACAGATTAGATGTGTACAATCAATTAAAATAAAATATGAAAACAAATTGCCAGATTTAACTCGCCAATCATTAAATTAACTCTTTTAATCAGGCTCCACCCACAAATAAATATAAAATAAGCGCTTGCGCACTGCAAAAAGTAGGCGAGGCATAATGTTTCGACAACTTTGAGGCCAAAACATCGTCAGCAACATGTAGACTACTGCAAGTCCTTTGGCCACAAACTCCTTTTAGTTCAACTTGAAATACTGCTCGAGTAGGTTGTGTGCTCTTCGTGTTCCATATATTTTCCGTTTTTGTTACATTTTTCAAAGGATTGTTAGCTGAATAATAATGAATAACTTTTTGGAACATATTTCGGTGTACCGTTATTCCCGTAAGTTGTGTTTAATCGTCAATTTAAAGTTTACTTTGGAAAATATTTTTAATTTGCAACAAAAAAACAAAAATTCTGTCTTAATCTAAATACGCCTGATCCGCCCCTGAACAAGTTTTCGACTTGATTACGTGGACAAGTGCTCTCTGTAACACTGTTACCCCCCGTGCTATGGATTCCGCTCTCACAGCTCCAAAAAGACACGATCTTGCACTGTCTCTTTCGTACTCTTTCACGTTGGGATGATGGTGGGGGGAGGGGGTTGTAGCCCCCCTCTTGCTATCACTTACCGGGTCTCTCTCTGAAGATTTACACTCTTTTCATATACGGGTGCACCCAAAGAAATACTACTGATATTCAGTATATATATACTAAAATATATATAAATAAAAAACTGCAATTTAACAGAAAAAGTAACGAAAACTAAGAACAAATACCATATGTTATATTTGTTTTATACTGTACTAATAAGTTATATTGCTTCACTTGCGAAGTGCCACAAAATATTTGCTGAGTGTAGAAGTAGCGGGTAGTAAAACAACGTCGGCGGCTTCGCCTCCAGCATTTCTCGGCCGCACTTCGATCGAAACGGACGTGTTTGCACTTCTCCGCCGTTTGCTCGCGTGTTTTCTGCTTCCGCTCCCGCCGCCCCATCGCCGAAATCGAGTGATATCCGTTTTGTGGAAGACCAAAGGTATATTACAGATATTAGATCGAAAATCGTGTGCTTGGCTTAGCGTAAAAATCTTGGAAGTGTGCTCGCTCATTAAGAAAGGAAAATCGAGAAATCGAAAGAAAGCGTGTACTTTGCCATTGCTGTCGTGTCTCTTCCATTCATATTCAGTCCACGCCATCGCATACATACATACACACATGTATGTATCGTATACACAAATATATGTACATACATACGCCCCAAGAAAAGTGAACAATGGAGGGGGAGAAATAGAGCTTATCGCTCTAAGTCTATAAAAATAAATATACAAAATATCGCCGGTTGGGTGCTAGCCTCTGTTTTTGTTGCTCACGATCGGCTCAGGTCAACTATTAGCATTTCCTATTCGGAAAAGAGGAAAACTCCTGACGTGTCGCTTAGGACAAGATTTTCCGAAACATTTAGCGCCGGCCTGTAAATTGGATCGCTTACGGTAAACTTCGTACCGCCAGTTCACTGAACCTTTCATAAAAGACACACAAAAAAGCTGAAACAAAAAGATACGTGTGGAAGCGAAGAAGCTGAATCGCCCAACAGGTTTTAAGGCCAAAAAGTGGACAAAAGTGGTACAGTGAAGCTGCCAAAGACACTATAGGATGTTTTCTGAATAAGTACAATTTTGAGACACATTTCATAGTAGGCATTCCAGTCTTATCTATTTATATTATTTGAAGTACATGAAGTATCAGTGGATTTACTCGCTTGAGCTTGGTCTTAACTATAACAGTTTTGTGCCTCACTGTATATGATATGCCTTTTACTCATTCGAGTAATTAATCACTTTCAAGCTTAATCAAGAAAGTAAAATAAATGTGTGTTCATGTCTCTGAGATTTCACTGTGTAAAGAAAAAGAAGCAGAAGCGAAAGAGAGCAGTTGCTGAGGAAGATCAAGAGATGTTAATGTCGATTTCACGTAATTGACCATTGCCTTTCCATTAGTGAAAGTTTTCCAACTATATAAAGTCCAACCATATTTTATTTTTTGTATGCCTTATTAGTTTTTTTTGCGGCTATTTGAATTTTTTTTGCGTCTCTTTTATATTTGGGTGACCTAGGCGCTTTCAAAACTTTCATTTAACCAGAAACACCCACCAATATCCCATTGGAAATGACCACGATGGACATTACGCATACGCCACCGTGTACGCGCAATAATTTCGGTTGGCTTTGGCTTTTGGCTTGCATAATCGCCTCCAGCTGGTTGAGATGGTCAAAGCTGGTTGGCTGAATGCGGTTCCCCACTCGAAAATGAATTGCACATTTGCATAATGACTAATTTTTGCTGTCCGCGCATCCCATTCGCAATCGCTGCGAATTTTCAATTTCGACTTTACACTGTTAAGCAAACAACTGTTACACCTTTCCGGGTAATTGGTTTAAATTCATCATTTAACGCTTGTGCAACCCTTATACGACGATTAAAACGAAGATGATGGAGAGCAGGTGATAGTGAAGATGGATCTGGATGTATAAAAGTGATGAACATCAATCCAGGGAAGACATTGGTGCTTTGGCTTAGTTTCGAGTTAGTGCATTTTATAGTCTGTAGTTCGAACTTTGTTCAATCCAAGGATCACATCTTTATTACCACCTTGTAGTCGAGTGCCTAAACACGTTCCTGATTTTCGAAAGTCTCCGATGTTTCTGGTAATCAAGTTTGTCCATTTATCTTGCAGCCATGTCGAAATCCATTCTCGTTTTGTCGTGCCTTCTGCTGGTGGCCATCAGCAACAGCCTGGTCCAGGCTGAGGATCTCAAAGTGGATGTGATCAGCACGCCGGAGGTCTGCGAACAGAAGTCCAAGAATGGCGATTCCCTTACCATGCACTACACTGGAACCCTGCAGGCCGATGGCAAGAAGTTCGACTCGAGGTGAGTGATTTTAGAGTGTACAAAATCAAAATAGCCCCACCTTCTTATCAATGAACAAAGCTAAGTCACATCCTAAAGTGTAATCAGGCGTCAAACAGCATTGAGTATTTCACATTGCCTCAAAAATTTCGGCAGAATGTCAGAGTTCAGGATGAAATATTTTTAAAGCCCATGTTGTCCGTAATCTCCACACACACACACAACCACACACTCGCCTCCATTGGAGATGCAGATTAACATACTCGCAGATACATGTGTTTTCCGTATGGGATTAAAGCTGCTGGTGCTGCATAGTCAGTCTGTCGTCACGGCGGCTCATTGCCGTAAATTAGACGCCAACTGATAAGCGATCTCATTGTTGCATTGTCGCTGCTGCTGCTGCTGTTGCTGCTGTTGCTGTTGTTTTTGTTTTTTGCTTCTGCTGCTGGTGCATTTTGCACGCCTGACTGCCCCCCTTCTTCCTTCAACCCATCTCAAACTCATTTCCCCGCTTTTTGTTTCATTTTTCTGTGGGTTATGGGCGTTTATTGTGACGTGGCCCTCAATTTTTGGCTTCATTAAGCAAAGAAACCGATTTCCGGCACAAAACAAGACTACAGCAATCAGTAAGTGTAGAATAGGGTTCTGAAAAGAAAACATTTAAAAATATTACCCATAAACAAGTCCTTTTAACCATAAGATTACCATTGTAAGCTGTTACCCGAAAGTTAAAATTAAACGAAATGATAAGGCTTTTAAGCATGCGAGACCCACTGGAGCTACTCATTATCGTACTCATTTTCTTATCTCAAAAACGCTTTCTCATATTCAACCTTTGGTTTTCTTGTAATAAATCCTGTAAATTAAAGCCACAGCGAAACTTGAGTTGCCAGCCCAGGGATCCAAACGAAAACCAATTAAATTCAAAGGATAACAAAATTATTTCACATGTGTGGCAAATTAGCACCCCAAAGTGGGTTGTCTACTGACGCAAAAAACAAAAAATCTTTTCGATGCGTGTAACCATTTGGCAAGCGGTAAAACTCATTATCAGTGTTTTATAAATATCAGCTGGGGCAAAAACTTGTCGATAAGCGACCTAAACTAGATTAACTAAACTGATATATTGCCCGTTGATTGCATATAAATGAAATATACGTTGGGTGAGGGCATTACTCCACTACTTCATCTCTCAGTTATCAAATTTTGATTTAATTTTACGACCAGAAAATTGTGTTTCTCGTAG